GTTTGTTTCTTACACAATCCATTTTCTACCAGCCTCTGCTGTGTATTCCTCAACAGGAAGAGAGGCAGTAATTGAATTGCCTGAGAGTTGAAAACACCACTTCCTGCTTGGGCAGCCAGTGTACCCGAGCTTCCGAACAGAAGCCTTTGCCTTCTGTTGTTTTAGAATCGCCCAAGAATACAGGTGATCACTTAAAACTTAATATACTTAAAACCATACACAATCAGTCAACGGCCCCTTTGCTTAGGGACCATACTCTAGAAGAAGCCACATCTAGCTAAGTTCCTCACGGTACACAAATCAGTGCCAGGGTAATCCTCTTAAGAGCCAGGTTTGTTGACGAGAAGCAATGACAAAAGTGGAGCTGTGAGGTTCCAAATTAGGCGACGGGACAGGACTCCTGGGTGGGGGCAGAGGCAGCACTACACAAAGATCACAAATATTGAGAAGCGGTTAGCTGCAAGGCCAACAAGATGGCTCACTGAGTAAAAAAAAAAAAAAAAATCACTCGCCATACAAGCCTGACATCCTGAGTTCAATCCCCAGAAGAGAGGGGAAAAGGAGACAGCTCCAAAGGTCAGAGGAGAAATGTGACCTTGGATGGACGTGGCACCAAGGAGGGTATGACCAGCACGTCTGTCCCAACCTTCTCCGGATGGATGTCTTCTGCAGAGCCTTCCAAACATTCGATGCCTGGCAGAGGCCCATCCCCAGAGATGCCAAGTCCTCTGATCCCGAGAAAGGAGGAAGAAAACCATGCAGAGCAGAAAGGGAAACGCCACTGCAGCTGTGTGTTCAGAACTGCAACCAGCACAAGGAAGTGAAAGCGATTTGGAGGGTGAGAAGAGAAGAGAGAGCTGTCTGCAGTCTGTTGGCAACTAGCTCTCCTTCGAGGGAGACAGAGCTGGGCTCACAGCATCGCGGACACTTGGCAGCCAATAGACAAGAGGCCGAGGGGCCGCGGAGACCTTAATTCTCCTCCTACATTTGAATACTCCCAGTGCAAACGATTAGGAAAAGTGCAGGTAATGAAAACGATCTTGGCTGTGTTACTTGTTTGTTTACTTATTTTACTGGGAGATGTAGGGAGAGGATTTTGCTCTTAGAAGCTAGGTAAGCCTCAGAGTCTACTAACCTCCACAGAGGGCATTCCCTTCCCCTTGCTGTCTGCTACAGAGTCCACTGAAGCAACTCCTCACGCACAGTTTCCAACATGCGTAACAGAATGTCACTTGGAAGTGTTTAACTACGTACTTTGTGACCAGTGGCCATCTCTGGCACACACTCCTCTGGAAACCATTTTCTGTTAAGCCCCATCAAGTGAAGCGGTGTCCTCTGCCATCTGCCTTCGCTGTGGGGAACCCTTTGCTCTCCTCCACCGGAAGAATCACCATCGTCTTCACACCCAGGTCCACCCAGCCTACACAATGGAAACTGATTTCAGAGACCTTGCACCCAACGACAAAGTCAAGAAATGACACTCAACTCTGGGCAACAATTTCGTGCCCGTCTCCTGTAGAGATGGGTGTGGTTTTTTTATTTTTTTTGAAACAGGGTTTCTCTGTTTAATAGCTCTAGCTGTCCTGAACTCACTTTGTACACCAGGCTGGCCTGGAACTCACAGGCCTTCCCATGCCTCTCTAGTGCTGAGTTTAAAGGCATGTGCCACTACCACCAGGTGAGATGGGTGTTTTTCCTAAAACCAAGCACTAAGAAGCAGAGGGACTGTCTCCAGGTTTTAGTTCACACTGCATCAGGGAAGGAGAGGGAGGAGCAAAGAAAGAAGCTTAGGTCCAGCAGACAGCATTCCATAGAGCCACAGTGGGGAGAGAGCTGGGTAAGGTGCCATTCGGGTCAAAGGCCACACCACCAAAGCAGAAGGACCACTCCCACCCTCCTCAAATTAGCATCAGAGAGAAGAATCAGCATATCAAAAACTACAACGTGGGCAGAGAAACAGCAGATATTATTTTGCTCTCTGTCTGAAAGAAATGTACTATGGAACAGAATGTAAATGTTTTTGGTTCTTTTTTAAACAAGGTCTCACATCTCAGACTGGCCTGGAACTACACAGCCTAAGTTGGTCTCAGGCTCACAGCCATCTTACTGTCTCCTTGCTGGGGAGAAATGGTTTAAAACATGAAAATAACATTCTGATATCTTCACCAGTATGTATAACATTTTTAAAGGTATCAGTGAGGTATAGTGTCTTATAAAATGTGACCACCATTCCCTCTGGCAGCGTCCCTCAAATGTAACAAGAACTGTTCGGATGGCTCCATCTATGCAGCTGTTCCCTAAGTATCACACTGAAGACCGAATAAATTCCTAATTCCAGTCACTGGAATCACTGGGATCACTCAGTACAGAGGGCGGACGATCCTTCGGGCCTGCCCACTAGCGCGCTGCTCACAGTCCACCAGGTCACACATTTCTTCCTCTACAGCAGATTCCAGGGCCCTGGGTACAAACTCCCCACCTGACCCCTACATGCTGGGAAACGCCATCAAGCATGCGCAGGTCCTGGTGTGTGGAGACTATTCCACGCAGGCTACCTGATTAAGTTACGACTCCCCACACTGTTCGGCTCACAAAAGGGAACTGGCAAAAGACCTAGAGAAGTAATGCGTGGCTGAACAAATAACTCCGCGAAGCTCACTTCCTTAGTTGTACACCCAAAATAAAACCTCCATCTTAGAAAGGAGCCTGATGATCAAATCAGGAGAAGCTGAGCACGGGCCGGCTGTGCCCAGCACTGAGAACACAGCTTTACCTGGAGAACTAGGGATTGCACCTGTAACTGCGAACCTATACACTTGGTTGTTCTAAAGACACAAGATCACACAACGCTCTGAGAATCTGTCACAGGAAGGCGGGCTTTGTCCTCTAGATTTTTCCCTCGTAAACGGTCGTTCACAGTTACCAAGTTTCCACTTGTGGCTTTGCGGCTCCTACGTCTAGTTTGCTGGCCTCTGAAAGGCGGTAAGTCAGAGACGCCCGGATACAAAGGGGAGAATGAGACTTCTCACAATCTCCAAGTCTCCATCAGTTCCAGCAGGTCCTACTGTCCAAGGGAGTGGCTGGACTGCAATGTGTCCTGTCATCACTGAGGTCCCATTCTGGTTCCTTGCCCCCTCTGGCCTACAAGCAAAGTCTTTAAACAAAAACAGATGGTTTTTCCTCCAGGCTAAGCAACTCGATTTATTTGAGACACGTTTTGCCCCGTGCCAAACCATGGATTTCTTTCCTTTCTCCATTCCACGGAATTTATATGCAATGGTCCTGCCCACTTCACAGGGCAAGCTGAGCGGTGCAGCTGAAAGGGAGGTGCAATTACATATATAATTATATATCAGTCTCAACTTTTTCCTTGAGTCACCAAAGCAGCACGGCCCATTCCACTCACTGCACACTCGGACTCAGGTGTGTCATGAATAGGGCTATATTTGGATACTGATGTCCTTGGATGGGTTTCAAATGGATGAGGGACGGTAGGACACTGGCAAGCATTAGGCAGTGGGCTGGTCAATAACATCATCAATCATTTCTCTACAGAGTTGTTAGGAGGCTTGGCTGTTTTGCTTTTCAAGTTTTGGGGTCACAGTTGCACTGCGCACCCCAGGTTGACCTTGAACGCCTGAGATCAGGTGTTCCTTCCCCTTCCGCCAAGGCCTCCCAACAGCCCAGACTAACACAGTGAATGGCCTCAGGTTCTGTGTGTCTGCACGAGTCAACAAGTCCATCGGGAAGACTGGTACCACTGCATTACCAGGTCCAAGGAGTTCAAAGTTGTCTCAGTCGCTCAGATTCCCAATCAGTACTCAAAGAAAGAGGTGGTGCAGGAGACAGCGATTTGGGGACAGTTGGATGAATTTTCTATATAAATGCAGCCAGTTTCTCTTTGTAGCCAAAACACATTTCCCCTGTGCTGTGACCTAGGCCACATCCACCTAGATCTGAATATATCTATATACACATCTTCTATTCCTGACCACTACCCTTCAATACCCAGGACCTGGTTCATAGCGAACGCTTAGTTATGTCTGCACTGATAGGAACATTACTGAACTAGAGTTCCCAGAGCACAGCCAGCTGAGATTATGTAAAGTCACAAGGCTCTGGACATCGAGCTTAAAATGTTTTATTAAAACATTCCAAGATAAAGCAAAAAAAAAAAAAAAATCTATGTGGAATTTAGGCAGGCTGGCAGCTTCCAAATTCAGGGCGGTGCCCCTGACGGCCAGGTGGAGAAGTTCCCTGTGTGCACTTACAGGCTCTTCCCCAAATGTAAGAAGAAATCCCAGCTCAGCACTTACTGCAGTAACTTCTGAAAGACTGACAGCCCTTATCAGGGGTCAATGGTCACCAATGCCATTTACAAGTGGGGGAACCAACAGCAGGTTAATCTTGCCCAGGCCTCTCAGGAAGTTCATGCTGAGCACAGAGAAAGAAAGGCTTCTCTCTCTTCGGTTGTTGGCCAGACCAATGACCCAATCAAGCTCTTTGGAAAGTGTTAAACTCTTTTCCAGGACCTGTCTGTCCTGAGACTTTGCTTACTTGAGGGCCGGAGACCCCTCTGATCGCCTCCCGGAATGGTGACCTACATTTCCCCTCACACAACTGCTGCACAACCTCCCGTTAAGGGCTCTAGGCACACAATTATCATCAGGTGCAACCCTGGGCCTCTCTCTGGGCGGACGCTCGCCGCACGCACACCTGAAGCACAGCTTCAAAGTGCGGTTGTGCAACCCTCGCAGGACTCTCCCTCCAGGCGGGGTTTCTTTCCGCACTCTCGTGAAGGGCTTCCCACAAACCGCCCGGAACTTTCTGAACTTTTCTCCAACCTGCTCTTGGAGACGAGTGCAGGGAAAACAACCCAAGAGGGAGGCGGAACTGCAGGACCAGCTTCTTGGCACTTCCAAGTCCACTCCAGGCCCAAGCGGGATGGAGGGAGGCGGGACAGGCGCACCCCGACTCGGCACCCCCCCTCCGGCACTCACCTTGGCAGACGTCTCCCCGAACAGAGGTCTGTTGTCCAGGCCGCTGGTCCCGTAGGTCCTGGTACTAAAGTCCTCCATGTTTAGGGCTGCTCCTCTCGTCCCTTAGCCGCTCAAAAGCGAGTCCGCATCAGCTCGCCAAGTCGGGACGCCCGCCCCTCACGGCGCACGCAGGGCCCGGGCCCTGGGGGGGGGGGGGGGGGAGCGGGAAATCCCGACGGGGCGACCGTCACTCCCGGGGGCCGCGGCCGCTCCGCCTCAGCCCCGCCGTCCTCCTCCTCATCTCCAGCGGCTGCCGCAGGAAGTGAAAAGAAACAAACAGCGCTTGGCCGACGCCCCGCCGGCCGCCCCCCGCCCGCTCCCGCCGCCCCCCAATCTCTGCTCGGTTCCGCGGGGGCAAAGTTTTCCCGGCCCGAGTCCCCGCGCGGCGGGCGGGCGGGCGGGCGGGCGAAGTTGCGGAGCGAGCGCCCCCGCACACCTCCCCGGCTCCGCGGAGAGCTCGGCACCCGCCAGCTCCGCGTCCCCCCCGTCCGGTCCCCCCCACGCTCCCCGCAGGCCAGACCTCCGCGACCCCGAGCCACGGCTCCCAGACGCCGACGGGACCCCCGCACCGCACCGCACCGCACCGCACCGCACCGCACCGCGCGGCGACTGCCCTGGGCTCTCTCGGGTCCCCGGACCGCGGCCGCTGTCGCAAACCGGTCGGGCCCGCCCAGACCGCGTCACGACTCGGGCAGCCAATCCCACGGGCAGAGGCGCCGCCTCGGCTGCGGAGCTTTATTTGCAGAGGTGCGGGTTCCCCTCCGCCCCACGCGGGTCTCTCCGCCTCTGGGCCGCGAGCGGCTGCGCGGTGCACGTGGCCGAAGCACGGTTCCGAAGACACCTCGAATTTGGCGTCCCCCTAAAAGTGGCCTGCTTTGACACTTTCGGGAGGCACTGGCACGGTGTCTGCTCGTTTTATTCCGCATTACATACAGCTTTAGAGGTCCAAGTTGACATAAACGGGAAGAAACGGTGCTGGATATTTATTTCTTCGACTGGTCCAGTGAAGGAGCTGAGTAAACGCGTTGGCCGCCAAACAGGCCGGAGCTTCGCATCCTGGGCTTAGAGAGCTGGATGGAAGTGTTGGAGTCGCTCTACGTCTGGAGTCCTTTACAAACACTGAAAACCAAACACCTACCCGAGATTGTCCGGACACTCTATGACCCCTAGATTCAAGGGAGCTCTGAAACTGTTGGCACGCGGAAGAGGGGGTAGACGCCGTAGAGCCACACAACGCTTAGAATGTAGACACGGGTTCCAGAGACCACGCAACAGTTTAGAACAAGGGATGGGATAACAACCACCAAGAATCTCCAGCGCTGAGTACACTTAAGAATTATGCGTGTCCCAGTCTGCCATACGTGTTTTACAAATTAACTATTTGCCCACGACTTTTCCTTAACAGCAATACTACATAATTTGGCACCCAATTCTGTTAAAAAGTTCCACTGGCCCTACAAATATTCGGCTACAGTCAACAAAACAGTTCCGGAGGCTCTCACCTGCAATCCCTTAAAGGCCGGAGGAACATTAGTTTCAGTTCAATCTAGCCTACATAGCAAGACCCGGTCTCAAAAAATAATAATAAAATCAATAATACTTCGAAAATCTGTTGTGACAGTTATAGGCTTGGACAACAATCGCGGAAAAAGTCACTCTTTGAGGCGATAAAACCAAACTTCAATTACTGGACAATCAAAATCCTTAAAGTCTAAAATTCTGAAAGGTCAAATTTCTGAAAATACAAGTCTGAAAAATTAAAAACTTTAGATGAGTAAATATATACGCTTGAACTTTTTTTTTGAATCTTTGTGGATTTCACATCATGCACCCCAATCCCATTCATCTCCCCATGCCTTCCTATGCAAGCTCACCCCGAAAATAAAAAAAGAAAATGTAAAAGAGAAAACAATTACTCATCATGGAAGCTGTGTGACGTAGTGGGTTAAAGTACACCCTTTAGCCCACACATCTGTAAGTGTTCATTGCAGGAGGTTCAAGGCCTCTGGCTACACTGTCGCTCCTGGGCCCCACCGGACTCCTCTCGGGTACCCTATTGTTGCGGTGTCATGGAGATTCTACAGCCCTGGAGCTGCAGGACTGGCCCCTTCACATGCTCGAGCAGTTCACTGATGGGGTGGATGGTGGAGTGGGACCACGCGCAGTCCAGATTCTGGAGCTGGTAGTAGCTAGGGCTGGTCAGTTGGCCAGTTCTCCCCAATCCTCAACACCAGGGCGAGCTCTCCAGCCCTGCCCCTACTCGCTCGATGCCGCCGCAGCAGCAGGGGGCGGCAGATTATTAAAAGAGAATCTGTTTCAAAAACATAAGAAGACATTTCGTAGGCAACTTTTTATGGTAAAATAGACAAAAACATTCATATGTTGAAATCATATACACTCCGTGGACATGAGAATTTGCTATTAAATGTTCACCTCAGTGCCATGCCGCTGAGATGCTTGGACTGTGGAGGAGGAGGCGTCTAGAATACACTCATCTAAGGGGCACAGGTTGGGCAGAAAGAGTTCCAGACACTGAATAAAGTCAGTGCCTTCCTGTTGTACCCTGCACAGAGTTACTTTCAATCAGGAACTTGTCTGGCCTCACCAGGCAGATGCTATTCGGTTCACTGAAAACTACTGAAGGTGCAGGGGCGGGAGAAGCAGCTGAGGACCCAGGTTTGCTTCCCAGCATCCACCTGGAGGCTCACAAACATCTCTAACTCCAGTTCCAAGGGATCCATTGCCCTCTTCTGATCTCTTCAGGCGCCAGGTACACGCAGGGAACACATACACACACACACACACACACACACACACACACACACACACAGGCAATAATTCTTATACACAGAAAACTTTTTTTAAAAAATTAAAAGTTCCTACAATTTCATCCACGGAAAGGCCAATGTAGATAAATGACATGTATTTCAAAAGATTTTAGTGTGTATGTGTGTGTGAGCGCGCACATGTGTGTATGCTCCTGGCCAAGAAGGCCAGAAGAGGGTGTCAGTTCCCCTGGAATGGAGTTAAGGTGCTGTGAGTCACCCACCATAGGTGCTGGTGACTAAACTCAGGTCCCTCCCAAGAGTTTCAAGCACTCTTAATTGCTGAGCCTCCTAAACAAAATATTTTGAAACTAAATTTTTGTTGTTTCGGAAGCCCATGGCCAGTTCCCTCCCTAGAATTAAAATTTCTACTCCTGATACAAGAGACCCTTCCCCTGAGGATTGAGATTTTCAAACTTTTGCCTTCAACATGTCAACATTTGGTGTTTCCCCCCCTTTGAAATTATTTGGGGGATTCTAGACTAGGAGTTTTGGTCATTTGGGAGGAAGCCTCTTAGGTTTCTGGTCAGCACCAGGCCAACGCGTCAGCAAGGGCCTTGGCTTGAGGCCGAAGTAGAAAGCAGAGCAAATGGTCACAATCTAGGGCAAAGAGAATACACAACCACCGCTTCACGACTGACAGCACATGACCATACACGCAATGCCATCACAAGCTTTACAACTGACGACACGTGACTTCCCACACAGTGCCACCACCTACTAGCTGTGTGACCTTGGGCAAGTTCCTCAGTCTCAACACAACTCTGGTGAAAAGGGAGAAGATGAAAGCCCTGCGTGGTGGTCCCATTCCCAGCCCTCAGAGGCAGAGGCCGGTGGATCTCTTGAGAGTTGAAGGCTAGCCTGCTCTACATAGTGAGTTCCATATGGCAGCCAGAGCCACAGAATGAGACCCTATCCTGAAAAAAGAAAGTGAAGGGGATAATAAATTGAAATACATGACTTCAACTATATTTAAGATCTTTGATATGCATGCATAATACACTAGCAAACAGTAAGATTAAAAGCAGTGGTTGCCACACATGATGGAAAGGGCTGTAACCGAATGTTGCTTACATTCCTTCCCTGAGGGGACGTAAGCAGTGTCTACTCTTCCCCTAAGGTCCCAATGATGAATCAAGCTACAATTCCACCAAAGTTCCACTAGGGAACCAATGAGATTATTACACTTATATAACAATGGATGAAGGGCTACAAATGAGCATAAATGACCTTAAAGGAGCCACCCCGGAAGGTCTGCACTCAGCAGGGACAATGGCTTCCCCTGGGCTGTGACAATGGAGGCCCCTTCCCCTCATTCTTTCCCACCTAAATCCCCTAGCCTTTCCCCCAGCTGTGATGATCTCTTGGCAGTCAACCCTGCAGTTGGTTGTTTTTTCTCTTTGCTTTTTACTCTCTGGGAAGCCTGACACCCAGGTCCCAAATAATCACACAGAGACCTATTATTACTAATAAATGCCCAGCCTTAGCTTGACTTGCTTCTAGTCAGCTTTTCTTCGCTTAAATTATCCTGTCTGCCTTTTGCCTCTGGGTTTTTATCTTTCTTTCTTCTATATACCTTTCTTTCCTTCTCACTCCATGGCTTGCTGGCTGGCTGGGGGGCTGGCCCCACATATCCTCCTCTCCTCCTTTCCACAATCCTCTATTTTCTCTTCCCAGAATTCTCCTTCTCTTCACTCTCTCTCCCAGACAGGCCCGTCGATCCTTTCTCTTGCCCAGCTTTGGCCGCTCGGATCTTTAATTAGACCAATCAGGTGTTTTAAGTAGCACAGCTTCCCAGAGTTAGACAAAGGCAACATAAAAGAACACAACACATCTTTGCATCGTTAAACCAATACTCCACAGCATAGATGAAGGTAACACATCTTCAACTCATATTCCCCAACAGACCACCAGCAGAACTCCTGAAGATTATGTTCATTTGGCTGGGACGACAGCCCAAGACCTTACCTGGATGTGTGAGGGATGCCCACTGGCTTCAAGTGACAGGGATAGAAAGCTTTGTAAGAGAATAGTTCTAGATAAAGACCCCGAAGGAGAATATGAAGTAAGACAGGAGAGAAGGAAGCAGGCCATCAAGGCCAGACCCTCCTGCAGGCAAAGAACTTCCTACGAAGCTTCTCTGAGTCACCACCCCTCTCAATGCCGCTTCACTCTCTCCTGCTGCCTACATCTGCCATGCTTCTCCATATAGACTTCACCTGTTCGGGTGCTAAATTTGGGGGAAATGGGCCTATAGTGTAGCTCCACGGCTTCTCACTGTTTGCAGGCTCAGTGCGGGTTTTCTCTTCAATTCACAGTGTCTTGGTAGCTGACCTATTACTGTGAAGAGACACCATGCCCAAAGCAATGCTTATAAAAGGAAACATTTAATTGGGGCCTCGCTTACGGTTTCAGAGGGTTGGTCCATTGTCATCATGGTGGGGAGTAGAGAGGGAGGCAGGAAGGCATAGTGCTGGAGAAGGAGCTGAGGGCTCTATCCTGAGCCACAGGCAGGAGGCAGAAGGGGCAACACTGGGCCTGGCCTGGGCTCTTAGAACCCCAAAGCCCACCCCCAATGCCATACCTCCTCCCACAGGACATACCTACTCCAAAATGGTCGTGCCCTCTCATCCTTCAAAACAGTTAACTGTTTAACTGAGAACCAAGCATTCAAATGCATGAGCCTATGGGGACTATCCTTATTCAAAGCAACACACACGTGCACGGAAGCGCACATACACACACACACACACAATTTTTGTCACTGGTTTATCTTGTTTATGGTGCTGAGGGTCAAACTCAGGGCAAGCAAGTGCTCTACCACTGAGCCTCACCTC